CCTCTCTCTCTCTCTCTCTCTCTCACACACACACACACACACAGAGAGAGAGAGAGAGAGAGAGAGAGAGAGAACTCATTAATAAACAAAATGTTCACAAAGTTCCCAGTATGTAATGCAATACTTAACATTAGACTACATATTTTTGAAAAATAGTTAGCAAAGACTTTGCTATCGTATAGAGAACATGTCTGTCAATGTGGCTATGACTGGACAATGGGCAACAGTGTCTACACACCCCTCTGTTAAGTCATACCACTCAAAGCTAGTACTCAAAAAAACTAAATTCCAATCATGAGGCCAAATACATATTTCCTTCACTCCTTCTAAATTTGTGGTTGAGATTCTTACAAGTAAAGGAGAAATTAGGAAGAGAAAGCATACACACATGTCAAATGCACAATTTAGATGACATAGAGACTTCAGAACCAAAGATTGAAGAAACAAATAGAATCAGGGTATTGTGATGAACAGCTGTTAGTTGTCATAGCTATAGAACCAGGTGGCCTGATCTACTGCTAGTAACTCCAGGGAAAGTAAGTGAGCAAGGCCTGATAGTTCACATTGATGGAGGCATCTCCTTTTCTAGAAAATTTAAGTGACTTTACCAGGTGATGACATGAGCACATGAGCATCTAGGTTGTTTCCAGATTCTGACTATTATGAACATAGCAGCAATGAGAATGGTTGTTACGATAAATCTTTCCAACAAAATGCTGCCTGAGCCCCACCTCCATGTGTGAGCTTTACGACAGCCCCCTGCCTCTGTTTTTTGGCCTAAATCCTATCACACCCTGTTTATAAGTAGCTTGTCAGAAGTACCGTCACTGTTACCTTTTTCCTGTTGATTGTAAGTGTGTGGGTATTTGCTCATTTATTTCAAATACTTTCCTGTCTTCTCTTTTATTAATTTCCATCATGTTGTTTAAAATTTTAACATATTTATATGCATATACATATTGTTTGTCATTAGAAGTCATTTTATTAATACATTTTCTGTTTTTTCTTATAAAAGTAGCATTGTGTTTTACCCTAGTACCTTGGTCTTGGTCACCCAAACTATATCATGCATGCATTTAATCTTGTGGTGTGGGTCTTAAGTCCCATGAAATATTGGTTAATTAGTTAATTAGTACAAAAGCTTTGGACCACAAGTGTTCTAGTATGACTTTCAGGTAGGACACCATTATAGTCCAAAGGTCTTAAGGCCCTTGGGCAATGTTTACATCTCTCCTTTGGTAGCATGAAGGGTACCTTCCTGTACCAAAGACACTAAAATGTAAGAGTTCACCTTCAGGATCAATGTGTGCAACAGCTCTATTTCTCCATGTTCAATGAGTTGCATAGGAATTGTCTTCATCAATGCGATATTGTTCTCAGTTTTTATAGAGCAACCAATAGTCTTGGCAACCTCCTGGAAAATTTGAAATTCTCACAGGACCACTTTGGCCAACAACTCAATTAGATATAACACAATTCCCAGGACTGGAAGCTTCATTTAATGACAAGAGATGACAATAAGGGGCTCTACTTCACCCATTGATTGGTGACTTCATTTAGGTCACCTACATATTTGTACATATTTTATGAAATTTCTACTTCATTATATTTCCATACTAACCCTTGAGCAGCCCTAAAATTTAGCTGTCTTCCCATATTCCCTCGTTCTTCTTTAATACCCTCCCCACCCCCAGTTGATCCTCCATTCCAGTCCCTCCATATATCCATAAATACTTTATTTCCTTTTCCTAATGAGACCTATAGTTTGCCATAGTCACTTACTTTATAACTATCCCTTGTAGCTCTATTGATTGTAAATTGGTTATGATTGTCTTAACAGTTCATATTCACATATAAGCATATACATAGCATATTTATCCTTTTGGGATTTGGTTATGTTACTCAAGATGACATTTTTTCTAGTTCAATCCATGTAACTTTGAATTTCATTTTTTAGCAGCTTAGTAATATTCCATTGTGTAACTATACCACATTTTCTTTATTCATTTAACCTTTGTTGAGGAGCATCTAGGTTGTTTCCAGATTCTGACTATTATGAACATAGCAGCAATGAGAATGGTTGTTACGATAAATCTTTCCACGAAAATGCTGCCTGAGCCCCACCTCCATGCGTGAGCTTTATGCCAGCCCCCTGCCTGATTTAGGCCCAAACGAATACACAGAAACTTGTATTAGGTTCAAAGCTGCTTGGCCAATGACTAGGACTTCTCATCTGTTAGCTCAGTCTTAACTATCACAAACCTATACATTTTATAAGACTTATCTTATCAGATGCCTTATTGGCATCCCTCTTTGCCGGTGGATCACATCGTGCAGCTGAGGCAGGAGCGGAGGGGAAAAGAGATACACTTCCTGTTTCCTCGCTTAGTTATGAGTCTCCTTGCCATGTCACTTCCTGCCTGGATCATCACTTTTCTACTACATTTCCCAGAATCCTCTTTGACTCCTAGTCCTTGCTTGCCATTGGCCAAACAGTATTTTATTTAACAATCAATAATACACAGTACATTCCCCATAATCTCCTCTTTTCTGTCTAAATAAAAAGAAGTATAACTTATCTTTTATAATAACTGAAAAAAACTATAACCATAACTATCTGTCTTCAACTCTATCAAAGACCACAGAAAGATAATATATAAACTCTAGAATTGACAGAGACATCTGGCTACCTGGACAGTCACCCAAAGTTCCTCTGTAACTCTGGGGCATCCATCTTCAGCCCATAGGCCACAGTGTATCTGGCACACTTCTCCATTTCAACAGGAACCCTTCAGTACTCTCTTGTTTTGCAAGTTCAGGAGTCATTTTCTTGTGGGTCCTGCATGTCTAGTTTATTCAGTAACAAACAGTCCAGGCAAGAGCAGTTTCTTACCCAAATGGCTAATCTTGCCATGTTGAAAGCAAACTCCATAAGGAGTTTCTTCGATGCCCATCCTCCTTTCTGACATAATTGGTGTGCCAGGAGCAGTTGTGTCTTACTGCCAAGAAAAACCCTAAACCATTTAAATGCCATATTTCTGTAGGTCTTTGAAAGGTTTGAAGAATACCTATCCATCTCAAATATATCTCTGTATATCTAGAAAACCTAACCTAATTATAAGTTCTGACTATTATAGGTAAAAGATCTGTATAAACACAATACCTAAACAAGAGGAGACATA